TTCCATTCTTGGAAACATTTTTCAAACTCATGTTTGGATGGCTGACACCACCTCCCTAATTTTTTCCTCACCTCTTCTATAGCATCAAATCACTGTCCTTTCATGTCCCTCTGCACTTGTAGAAACAAAAAGAAGTCACACAGTGTGAGGTCACGTGAGTAAGGTGCATGTGGCAAGAAAGGCATGCTGTTTTTCCCCAAAAACTGGTGCACTGAAATGTCTGTGTGAGCAGGTGCATTGTCGTGGTGGCAAAACCAGTCCCCCAACTGCCACAAATAAGGCCTTTTTTTGTCACACAGTTATACAATCCTTTCAAAACCTCTAAATAGAAAGCGTGATTAATAGTCTGACATGGCAGACACTATACCCCTAACATCACATCCGATTTTGGGGGGGCTACCCCCTCGTATGTCGAAGCAACTTGCTTTCTCACCTCTTTCAAGCCTTTACTGAAATGTCACTTCTCAATAAGGCCTTGTCAGGACAACAAACTTAAACTGACAGCCTCCCACTCCACCACGCATTTCTTTATCTCCTTTCTGGACTTTATTTTTCTTCACTGTACTAATCATGTAACATTTATATGTATATAAATGTGCTCTTTCATCACTAAAATGCAAGCTCCTCCAGTATAGATATTTCGGTTCATTTTTAACCTAAAACAATACTAGGCACAAAGTATTTGCTATAACATTACTGACAATTCAATGAGATCCAACGAGATGAGGTGTTTTACCACACGGTAACTACAACAGGACAGGAGTCCAAGTCTCTGTACTTTAGTAGTTAATTTTCTAATAATGGTGATGGATTTGAACTGAGCCAAATATATATTCTTTCAATGATAAACCAAATGCACATTCTTGAAATGACTATTTCTGAATCAGGTAAATAAACTACTTAGGACAACTTGATGATACAGAGCGATCAGGATACTCACACTGATTAGCACCAAAAAAAAAAAAAAGCCAAATAGTTTAATACAAAATATTATTTTATTTAAGGCTGTTTAAAAACGAAGATACGGGTTACAGAATGTGGGAGCTTCTACTTTATGAAGTCACATGGATTCATACTATTAAAAAACTGAATCATATGAAGAACACAAACATATAAAGAACACAATGTGGTTTGTCATATTTCTGAACTATGATCTAATATCTATAAATGAAGGGAATTTACAATAAAGAAGTTGTTGTTTTGGGACAGATTTTGGGTTTGAAAGAGTGGATATAAAACTTCCTGATCTAGCTAAATTAGGAAAGATGATGAACGTATCACCAAGACCAGTAGGAGACATAGTCACTCTTGTATCTTTTGAAAAATCACTCATATACAGTAGAAATTAGTTTAGAAAGTTAAAACGAACAGATTTAACTCATTAACTGCAAGTAGCACATCATATAATCATCAGCTACACTGGCTTTCAATCTGATCAAAGTATTCATAATTGAAGAAGTTCAGATTTTTAAATACTATGATTGAGTCACAAGTTCAGATTTAGACTGTCTACCACTAGGGCTATTAAGATCACAAATGAAATTCTGCTAGTCTTTTAGATGCAAGTAAATAGTATTTGATTAGTATTAATAAAAAGACAAACCACACTGCCATTGAGTCAACTGTGGCTGGCAGTGACCCTGTAGACCAGAGTAGAAGTGTCTCATAGGATTTCTGAGGCTCTTAGCTTTATGGAGCAGCTGGTAGGTTCAAACAACCAAGCCTTCAATTCGTAGTGAGCACTTAACCTCTATGATGCCAGAGCTTCATCATAGTGTAAATAAACTTTTAATTGGGCTGGAGAAAAAATTTTAAGATGCACTGGGTAGGCAATAGTTCCCAGTCTTTGGACCAAGTAATCAGGCTTCGATGTAACAACTGAAACAATCCTTCTGTCTATATGAGAAAATTCAGAGGCTTGATATAAAACCCTTCACTGGGAAGTAATTCTTAAAGAACTTAAAACAAATTATTAAAAGAAAGCAATGTAAAAAATTTAAAACATAAAAAATAAATTAAAATAATCTAAATTTGTTTTCTCATAAAAAAACACCAAAAATTTTTAGAGAGGGGTGCGTCTGATTAGAGCACACTGGAGAAATGAAAACGGATGGAGAAGGGAGGGGAGGACATCCTGGCCCACCAAGCCCTGAGGACAATATTGCTGCTCAGAGCAGACAACGCACAAAGAGGACCATAGGACCAGCCCCACCATGAGACACAATGTCCCTCACTAAACCTTAGCGCTGCAGGGGACAACACTGAAGACACAGTGCAGGAATTGTGCACAACTTGACCCCATCATGTAGCAAGGGAAGCAAATACCAAAAATAGACTTTGGAGAAAGAGTGTGGCACCCCATCAGACTCTACTGGAAAACACTCATAAAGGCCAACAGACCTTGAACTATTCGTAGGCTTTTCCATTTTTTGTAAGTGGCTTTCTTTTTGTTGTTGTTGTTCTATTGTTTTGTGGGTCTTGGCTTCCTTTATTGTTTTATTTGGCTTTGCCTGGTTTTTGCTCTTATTAATGCATCTGCATGCTTATTTAGATAAAACAGCTGGGATATGTAATTCAGAGAAGAAAAAAATGAGACCAAAGGTTCTGGGGGGATACGAGAGAAGGGGAAGTGGGAGAAAGGAAGGGAGCAGGGTGAAACCAACCCAGGGTCAAGGTAACAATAAGTGAACTAAAATCAATGGAAAGAAGGGTGTAGGATGCCTACTGGGGTTTAATCAAGGGCAATGTAGCAGTGAGGAATTACTAAACCTGAATGAAGGCCAAACATGATGGTGGAACAAGAGGAAAGTAAAAGGAAATGGAGGAAAAAACCAAAAGGCAAAGAACATTTATAGAGGACTAAATACAGGCATGTGCATACGTAAATATATATATAACGAGAGGGGAATAGAAGTATGTACTCATATCTATATGTTAAGAATTAAGGTTGCAGATGGACATTGGGCCTCAATTGAAGTACTCCCTCAACACAAGAACTTTCTGTTCTAACAATCCAGCATTCTGTGTTGCTTACCTTCCCTGACATGATTGCTGAAGACAAAGGGGGTACATAAGCAAATGTGGTGAAGAAAACTGATGGTGCCCAGCTATCAAAAGATATAGCATCTGGGGTCTTAAAGGCTTGAAGATAAACAAGCAGCCATCTAGCTCAGAAGCAACAAAGTCCACATGGAAGAAGCACACCAGCCTGTGTGATCAGGAGATGTTGATGGGATCAGGTATCAGGCATCTAACACCCAGAACAAAATCATACCCAAGGTGAATGGGGGGTGGTGGGTGGGCATGGAGTGGAGATCTAATGCCCATCTGTAGACAATTGGACATCCCCTCACAAAGGGGTCACAGGAAAGAGATGAGTCAGTCATGGTGCAGGAAAGCACCGATGAAACACACAACTTTCCTCTACTTCTTTGGTGCTTCCTTCCTCCCACTATCATGACCTCAGTTCTACCTTACAAATCGGATTAGACCAGAGCATGCACACTGCTACAGATAAGAGCCCAAAACACAGGGAATCCAGGATAGATAAACCCCTAATGCCAACAATGAGAGTAGAGATACCAGGAGGATTAGGGGAGGGTGGGGGGAGATTACAAGGATCAACATATAACCCCTTCCCAGGGGGATGAATGGAAACGTGGGTGAGGGGTGACAGAGGACAATGTAAGATATGAAAATGATAATCTATAACTTATCAAGGGTTCAGGAGGGAGGGCAGGTGGGGATGGAGGGGAAAGAAATGGGGAGCTGAGGCTCAAATGGGAAGAGAATGCTTTGAAAATGATGGTGGCATATGTGCAAATGTGCTTGACAAACTGGATGAATATATGGATTGTGATAAGAGATTTAAGAGCCCCCAATAAACGTATTTTTAAAAAAAGGTTTCAGTCTCAGAAACCCATAGAGGCATTTTCTACCCTGTTGCGTGGGGTCACTATGAACTGGAATCAACTTGATGGCAGTGAGCTTGGTTTTTTGGTTGTTCTAAGGTCATAAAAAGAAACAGAGTTTCTTAACAACCAAAATGTTTTTATTTCGTGGATGGCACCCATGCTAGAGAAACATGAAAGGGCAGAAGCCAAAATGGTTAAACTTCAAGTTGGATGTTAAAACTGTGATCTGATGGTATTTTCTTAACTAAAATGGATCTACACGCTTAAGATCAAGAGCAAAGCCTCTAATGGGAAGCTGTATTCAAGTTAGTGGGCTTTGAGGCTATCTTAAGCCAATTAAGCATTAGCCTTAAGGAAGGCCAGCCACACAGAAAGGGAATCTCCCCAAGATATTTCTTGAGACCACAACCTTTTCTGACAAGTATCACAGTCAAATTATTCACAATGTTTGGAAAGAGAAAACAAACATCAGTGTGTCCAAGTGTAACCTGACCATTTTTTGAAATCTCTGGACTGCTTCTGCACCTTAAAAAAAAAAAAAGAAGAAAGAAAACACAGTGACAGACAGTGAATGAGGAAAAAGATAATCATCTGACCAAAAAAATTAGGAGTTACAAGAAATTAATAAAGCAGACAAATCAGACAAAAAGACAAAAAGCCATATCTTTTGGGTTGCATAATTCTGAAGGCAATTAGTGGGGAAAAATCATTTTCAGTAAAATAAAAAGACTGTAGCAACAAAATATATCTTTTGGAGAGAGGGAAAAAATACATTAAGATTTGTCAATATGACACATGGTGGAATAAAGACTAAGTCCTGTTTGAAAGCTGGAAAGAACTGAAAAATGCCTGGATCATGAACTTGACTGCTTAACTGCCTTTGTGTAAGAAAACACACCAGAACTTTGAATTTAGGAAATTCCAACTTGTCTTGCACCAGGTAATGAGCTCCATAGAGCAGATACTTATTTCAACAAGCAGCTTTAAAAACTATAAAAACAAAAAACTTAATATCTTTCCTTTATATTAGTGATACATTAAAGAATGTAACAGTGCTAAAATTCATCAAAGGAAAATACAACTTACTCAGAAAGATGTTCAAAAGTTGGGATGCAAAGAGAAACTGAAATCAGAAGAAAATTATTACATTTAAAACCATATATGAAATAATGGTGAGAATAATGATTTAGAAAAAGCGCATATTAGGGATGAGCAAACATACTTCAATAAGAGAAATCTAATGTTATACAATCATGTATACATACCATTCTCCATTACAACTTGGCACATGTGCGTTTCATGTTGACATAAGTGGGTAGCCATATTATCTAAGCCAGAAACATCAGTTAGGAAATCACAATTAAGGCACACTATAGTAATGCCCCTACGGAAAAAGCAAATATAAAACGTTTTTGTCATTTAGGGCAATCCATACACAAATTCAATGATTATTTTTCCATGCCACAACTTGTGATTTATATTTTGTTTTATGACTTTCACATCCCACTTGTTATATAAAACAGATAAAACTGAATTTCCTAAAAAATAGCATAGCCACTTCCAAATTATGCAGTCATGTGTTTCCAAGAAGTATTTGTGTCTCATCAACTTACCTCTCACACTGATTGCCAAAAGTCAAGAGACCTATAGCATAGTTTTGCCTCCACAACCTGTGTAACTAGGGCAAGTCACAATCTATATGAGCCTCTGCTCATTTGAGAAGCAAGGATCTAGCACTCACTCATTCAGTGTGTATCTACTCAGGTTATCTTTACAGAAAATGTTCCACTAGGTACTATGGATATCTACTGGACATTATACTAATAATGAACGTAAAAGGTAATTTGTGCCTTGATAGATGTTATAATCTACTATCGTATTTAGGTAAGGATAAAATTAGAAAACAAATATAAATGTTTTAAAAATATATCTTTTAATGTGATTATTGTTACTGTCAGTTTGCTAAAAAAAGAACATCATATACTTTTGAAGTTTAACACATACTTTATATATATTTCACGTGTATAGGAATACAAATAAGTAAAATATCTTAGACTGACTTCTTTCTTGAAACACTAAACTACCTACAGGATATTTACATCTAGTATCGGTCCAGTAAGAATGATCTTCATAAAACCAGATTCATGTATGTCCTTCCCAAATCATTATTTCCTAACTTATCTTTCTTACTATGCCATTTACCTTGACAATAAAGCTCACATTATACTTACCTCTGACTCCCTTCTCTAAAAATATATCAAGTATTTAATAATATTAACAAAACATTGAATGCTAATTCTGTGCCACACTAACCCTCTAGACCTATCATCTGAACTAAATCTTATAATAACCCAAAGAAATAGGTGCTATAATGATCTCCTTTTCAGAGAGAACCCCTTGGTATAGTAATCTACCAATAGCACAGAGTTGGTGAGAGTAATCACAAACTTTGAAATTTAGTACTTTGTTTCCAGAGCCAACAGATTCCAGTGTCCTTAATGGATTCTAAAGGAGCAACAATTTTGAGGATGGTACAGGACCAGACAGTGTTTCATTATGCACATAGGGTCACGGTGAGTAGGAATTGACAACATTTTAGCTCAAGTTCTTAAAATCATAATTACCACACTAGTTCCAACTAATCTCTGTGATTCATGGATATACCATTCATGCTGTATACCCCTCAATTTAGTATCACTTGATTCTCACAAAATAGCAATGATGCTCTCTCAACCTTCCCAACGCCACCACCCTTTAATACAGTTCCTCATGTTGTGGTGACCTCCCACCAACCATAAAATTATTTTTGTTGCTACTTCATAACTGTAATTTGCTACTGTTATGAATCGAGTGACCCCTGTGAAAGGGTCATTTGATCCCCAAAGGGGTTGTGGCCCACTGGTTGAGAACCGCTGCTCTAACGCACTCCAAATTAAGTCCAAACTCCATAGGTTTATTTTCAAGGCTTTCAAAATTTGGCTCAACACTTAAAACAATTCCCAAAATGTCAATCTTGTTGCTATGTTATGTAAAGTTACGTTTCCACTCCAACTTTGCTAACCATTCCTCTGTACACTTCCTGTTTTTCCCGCTCTGCACCTTTGTTTATGCCATGTTTTCCAACTATAATGCCCTGAGCTGCTTCTATTAGTAGAAAGAGCTTATCTAAATATTTCCTTTCAAAAAATACAACTATAAAATTTATTGTTCTGTAAAATTATAAATACTTTAAGTTGCATTCATATAAATTGCTCAATTTCATATTTAATATGAGACCTACTGTAGTAGAGGGAAAAGTATCTGCCTGTTAATTTAAGAGCCAAAATTACAGGTGAGCTTGACAACAGTAAAAGAAAAATCACAAGCTTCATCTTCAAAATGTGATAAACAATTTCATTTCTTATATTTTCAGCAAAAGCATGAAAGGGAGATAGGGAGACTGGGGTGAAGCACTGGAGAGAGGCTGTAATTAGGATGTCATTTTAAATGGAGTGGTCAAGGACAGTCTCAATCATCACAGCGGAGACCTGCTGAGATGAGCTGGCCACGGAGCTAACTGGAGAAGAGTAAACTAAGGAGTAGGAATCATAATACAAAAGTCCTCAGAAATAACCTTACTCTTTTTTCTACTTTTTCCCCTAACCAAAATATATCAAAACAAGTATGGACTAAACATATCCCAATGTCTTAGTCTAGTGAAACAAAGACATTGATATTTTTAGAAATGTCAGTATGAGCAAAATGAACAAAGAAGAAATCAATATGAAAATGGATTTTTGAGTTAAATGTGTGCTATAGCCAAAGTTAATTATCAATGCTTTTAGAAATATTCAGCAACAGTTCTTTCTTCATAATAAACAAGTTCTGCACCACTTTATTTCAAATAGGAGAAAATAAAAATAGAAAAGCCTAAGAATTATGAAGGCTATATACCGATTTCAAGAAGTCCAGTGCTTTAAAAATTCCTTTGAAACTGAAAAAGTGTTACTCACTTTACTAGGTATGTTACATATCTTTTCAATATTCAAATATTTATGGAGAGTCTTATATTTGTTCTCGTTTTAGAATGCAAAGGCATGAAGGTTTCATCTTGATGGCTGAGACCACCGAAACAGAGTTTAAGACAAGAAGATAGGCTAGTCACACCTTTGGTCTAAGGATATAATGAAAAGAACTGTTATGTCCAGTCGCAATCATTTACATTTCCAAACTAGGGAGCTCAACATCAAGTTAAGAAAAAGTTTTAACAAATCATAATGAAATAGCACTTTAGATCCTCTAAAATGACTAACGAAAAAAAGAAATAATAGCAAGTGCTGGAAAAGATGTGGAGAAATACTCTGGTAGAAATTTAAATAGTGCAGCTACTAAGAAAGCCGAGTAATAGTTCCTCAAAAAATTAAGCAGAAAGTTACCACATAGCCCCCTAATTCTCATTGTAGGTATTTATCCAAGAGAAACAAAAACATATATTCACACAAACGTGTACACAATGTTCACAGTAGCATTATTCTTCATACCCACAGTGAAAGCAATCTAAATGCCCATCAACTGATGAATGAATACAGAAGACATAGTCTACCTATAAAACAGAGTATTACTGAACAGTAAAAATGAAGTACTGATAGCATGCTACCACATGGATAATCTTGAAAACATGTTAGGTGAAAGGAGTCATAAAAGACATTATATAATTTCCATTCTAAGAAATGTCCTTAACAGATATATCTATACATACGTGGGTTGCTTAAAGATGGAGCTTGGAGAGAAATGGGGAGTAATTGCTGTTGGATGTTGAGTTTCTTTCTGAAGCTATGAAAATGTTCTAAAATTTAGGGAGGGGTATACAACTGAATACAGTAAAAGTTATTTAACTGTATATTTTAAATGGGCAATTATATTATATAAATTCTATTACAATAAAGTTACTAGGTGAATATTTTTTAAGTGTTAATAATTTATCAGTAAATTGAGTGAAAAAGCATAAATGGCATTACCTGAGATTTTCTGAATGCTTCTTAAAAATGCAAAACCTTTTACTTGGACGGTTACTATGAAAGCTGGAAAGACAAAAGAGATTTGATTAATGCTACAGAATAATTCATATTAATTTTATATCCATATTTCAATTCTGTGCATACTTTTTTTAGTTTTTAATAACATATTTAGACCAAATTAATAAAATTACACATGCAATCCATTTAAGATTCTACCATTTATTTTACTTGTTTATTTCCTAATGGCACTTATCTCCCTAGAAATATCTTACAAGATGATCATACTTTGTTGTATAATTATGTCTCTAAAAAATGGTTTAAAATCTAAGAGAATCAAATTAAAATGCTTCTAACTATTGAGTTGAAAAATTTTTTACAAATAACTTTTTCTGCTATAGTAGTGATTAAAAGTAATTATTCTTACTTATATTCTAATCTTAAAATGCTTGTGCATGGGAGAGGGAATACAATCTAAATTATCTTGAAAGTAATACTACTTGAGCTGTTCACCATCTGCAAAATCACACATTTACTGAGTTCTCTCCAATTACTAGAAGTTTTTAAAATTAAAGCACACCTCCTGAGTTAAACAGTGCTTCCAGAAGAAATGAACAGAAAACCACTAATCAAATTTAGCAGCCAATGATGACAACAAATAACCAAGCTTATTGCAATCACATCACTTCCAATTCCTGGTAATAAACCCCATATGCTAGAGCAGAACTGCTAATAAGATTTTCTTGGCTGTAATCTTTACCAGAGCAGATTGCCAGGCCTTTCCTCCACAGCACCACCCAAATAAAAAAGCCAAACGTTTAAGTACTGCCACTGAGTCGATTCAAACTCTACAGGACAGAGCAGAAATGCCTCTGTGGATTTCTTAAATCTTTATGGGAACAGAAAACCTCATCTTTCTCCTGAGGAACAGCTGATGGGTTTGCACTGCTGATCTTGCTGTGAACACCCCAAGGCATAACCCACTATGCCACCAGGACGCCTCACAGCACCCTTGGGTGGTTGGGTTCAAGCTGTCAAGCTTTTCTGTACTAGGACAGCAGATTTGAATAACATAGCATACCACTAGGACATAATCAAAGACTAACAGCATCAGTATCACCTGGAACTTATTTAGAAATGTTTGGTTTGGGGCCCCAACATAGAACTACTGAATCAATATCGGTCAGTGTGACCAGAAATTGTTTTTAAAAAGTTAGTTTGTACTGATACACCCAAAGCAGGCAACACACCAGGTTAATGGTTGTTTTCAGTTACAAGTTAATGGATCACCAACACAGACAGCACTGATGTACGGGAAAAGAAATAGTCTACCTAGTGATAGCACTCTGATAAAATCCTGATTTATGTCATTTCTTCAATTAGAGGGATAACTACTATTAAAGAATTTACAAATATAGGACATTATACGTACCCTCAAATACATACACGTAAACATATACACATGTTTATGTGTATATATTTTAAATCAAGGGTTAGAGTACTCTGGAATCATATGCTAAGTTTCATGAACACCTCTGTGTTTCCCCAGAGTAATGAATACAAAGATTTTATTTGAATTCTTAAAGAAAATGAACTAAAATAAGCTTTTACTTAAAATTAAGATTTATAAATAACCTTTAAAGGCCCTTTTCCTTCTTTCTTAAAACACATGGACCATTGTTAGCTTATTATTATACAGGGTGAGAATAAAAGTACATTGAGGAAGTTTTTAATGGCAGTCATTTATGTCTACAACTTGTTCCTTATAAAATGTTGGTAATTTAAAAATTATAGTTCTTTGAATCGCTTTAATTTTTAGTTCCCTATCTAGAAGAAAGATTAATACTGCTTTTGGTTTCTCTACATTTACCACACAAATTTCCTATTTGTAGTTTTGTGTATTATAGGAATAGAAAAGTAGACCTGGAACTCCTACATACAAAAGGAAACATACGATCTTTTAGTAACTTTAATAACCCATAATACTGATGGTGTGACAACACAGCACCAAACTAGAGGCTGATGATGCAGTGACTAGACTATTCTGGGGGAAGAGGTACATGGACCTGGCATACAATCAATGTTCACTACTTACTAAATGAATAAGTTCATATGAATAAATCAGTACTCTAAGGATCAATAATGACATATACAAAGTTTGATGGATGCGTGTGAAGGCTGCAGGGAGTGGGAGTGGGAAATGAGTTGAATTAAGAGTTTAATTTGGATGAGAAGGTTCTTACTGCCTTGATCCTGGCAGAGCAAAGAACTAGTGCAAAGATGTGGAGGAATTTTCAAACAGCAAAAGTAACTGAATGAGCTAAGTAGTGATGAATTATATATTGAAAGGAATGAGATATTCAAACGAATTTATATTCTACAGAAAATTTGAATATCCTACCAGTATTAGATAGGAATTTAGACTAAAAAGGACCTGACCACATGTGCTTAATCTTGCAGAGGGAATGGAAAACCAAGGCTTAGAACTCATAACCAAGGGGACCAGTTATTACTGTAATAATCTTACTGTTATACTATTAATCAGTGGCAATACTACTATATAAAATACACAGAGAACTCAAGCAGATCTTAACAAGATGTAACTCAGTCCTTTGTCATATTCAGAGTACAGGAACACAGGTTTATGCCGACTTTCCTTTCCCGGAGGTGGTGGGAAGAATCATCCTTCCAAGCCTAAGCGAAATGCCGTTTATGGAAAGTTTTACTTGTCTTTAAAAAATTAATCCATATGTCCTCTGCGCTTCCATAATCTTCTTTTTCAAAGAAGCTACATAAACATATTTTTCCTACTAGATTTTATAAATTAAAGGCAAGGGTTTTATTCCTAAACTCACAATGGTAGCTTAGAGATAGCTATCATTAGTTGAGTATCTCCTAACTGCAAAAAACATTTTCTTAAGCACTTTACGTGCATTTTCTCTAATAATCACAGTAACTGCCCCACCACCCCCTCCAAGAAAAAGAAACTGGGAGTAATTTGGTTGAAGATACACAACAAGCAAATGATGAAGTTTGGACTCAAATCCAGATTTGTCTGATTTCTACCAAGAGCTTGCCTCCCCACAAAAATCTCATTAACAAATAGTACCTTTTTGGTAAGGTATATAACCAATATTTGTTGAAGAGACCTGACTGAAATAAATACTGATAGAAGAGCTATTAAATAGTTATATTTAATAGTCAAATAGTTAAATTCAGTGCCATCAAGTCAATTCTGACTAATAGTGACCCTAAAAGGAAGGCTAGGGTCTGATATTGTAACTCTAACCTATTTTTCTCCCAAGATGCAGCTGGTGGTTATGAACTATAGTTCACTATGTAAAAGCTACTCCACCACCAGGGTTTCGAGTGTCCTACCACTAATTTTATTATCTTAAATGTACAGAAAGTTTCTTATTACCACATATACTCGCATATAAGCGGACCTGAATATCCGCTGAGGCACCTAATTTTACATAAAAACTGCATTAAAATGTGCAGTTATATTCGAGTATATACGTTACATGTCATATTACAGAATATTAACAATTCTTATGCATTTTTCAGATGCTCCCTACTGCTGCCTAAAAGCTATAAGCAAATGAACAAAAATTTAAATAATTTCACCTATTTTTTTTAAAATATCACTTTAAAACTATGTAAGATGATGATGATGTATTTTCCTTCAAATGTCTTATACAGCTCCAACTGCTTCAAGATTTTTAACATCCTTTTGCAGATTATCCAGGGACTTTTATAAGTACTATATAAATATAAAAGGGTCCCCAGGTGGTGCTTGGCTGCCAACCCAAAGTTCGGCAGCTGTATCTGTCCAGGAGCTTCTCAGAAGAAAGGCCTGATGCCTAACTTCAAAAACATCATCACTGAAAACCCTATGGAGCACATTTCTACTCTGACACAAACATGGTGGCCAGGAGTTGAACGGATTCAACAGTAATGAGTTTCTTAGTAAGTAAATAGTGACTTTGAAATGTGCTAGAAGCCATGGTGAAAACAAAGGGGATTTTCTTCACATGGAGATAACAAGCACAAATAAATACAAGGCATAGGTAAAGGGTGGTCAAATCAGAGGAGTACAGGAATGTTTAGGGAATAACAATGAATAAGAACAGGGCACTGTAGACAATGAATATGGAAGGAAATTCACTAT